GTCGTTATTCATTTATTCTCATTGTTTTATTTAATGAGCACGGTCACTCAACAGACAAAACTTTGGGAGCTCGTCCTATAACAAAGTGACACAATATAACAAAATACATTACATATGAGCCTGATGGAATCATACAAAAAACTTGAAATTAACTTATACCTAATAAAAAAAAGAAAAAGGAAAACAGTGAGTTGATACTATATAAGTACATCAAATTCCAGTTCCTAATCAATTATAGTTAGAACATAGGAGATATTTGTGATGCTTCTTGAACAGATTTGTAGAATAATGGAAGATGTCTAAGTAGGTATTACAAACAAAATTATAGGAATTCATTGACCTTATTAATGGAGAATTATTGTAATAATTGCTATCGAAGGTACGTATGATTAGTCGATTTCTTGTTATGTAGGGGTTGCAATTGAATGAGTACTGAGAAGTTATGTAGTTAGCATCGATGAGATTATTGAATATTTTGTAAACAAAGTATATGTCGGAAAATTCTCTCCGGATAAATAAACATTCAAATCTATAGAATCTTAGGTTGTCATCATAACATTCGAAATGTCGATGGCAAAAATATCTGTAGTTTAAGTTTTTTACATTTTTTTCTGAACATATTCGATACGTAAAATATATATATATATCATAAACAGGGTTCCATATAATTGATGAATACATACTAGATTCGAGTGCTATTCCTGCGAATCTCTGATCAGAACAGTGCAATACGGTTAATTATAACGAAGGTGGCTATGTCTTTATCGACTAGTGGTTCATAAAATGACGAAAAATACCTTGGTAGTGGTGAAAAATAGTTATTTATACATCAAAGTGTTAGAGAATATTGTTACGTTATTCGGGTGCAGAAGCGAACACGACACTATTTATTTTCGAACTGATTTATTTGAACTGAAGAAACGATTTATATCACGCGGTATATAACTGTCTCTCTGACACTCGCTGCTCGACTGACTGACTCAGTTGTTCGGCTGTCTTATATATGAGAACACATGGCAGTCTTCGGTTCGAGAACGTTCTCGAATGATCTTCCTTCTCCTTCTTTTTGTTCTAGAAGCTTCCTAGAACAAAACCTCTCTCTCTAATTGTTCCATCGATTGTTTCCAGAACATTCCAGAATCTTCTGTGACGTTATTTGTCACTGCGGCATATATTGAGTGTTCGTAAATATGCTGGTGTATGTAGGAATCATTGAGAGGTTGGAGAGCAATCTGGGATGCGTGATACAGGATGATCGTTGTATTCCTGCCTTCCTGCTGATGTTTCTAAAGCCTTTCCAAGGGGAATATCATTACAATAATATTCTTACCCAGGGACCAAGATTCTTGATAAGGTCCCGTGGTGATGATATTCTTTATGCACTAGCGGGCGGTAAAGTGCACTTTATCGCCCAGATTTGCGGGCGTAAAGTGGTACTTTACCGCCCGCCAGTCCATTATCGCCCACGGGCCATGAAGTGCACTTTACCGACTGCTGTTCTCAACTCCCTTATATCCACACATCCATTTGTGGAATACCTATATTTGAACTCTCAGCCGATTCTATCGTTATGATTATGGTACATGTTATTGTTCATCCGATTCTACCTCCGCTATAACGCCCTTCTTTGAATAGTTGCTTTCTGACTGTCTAAAGTTATTGGTCAAAAGATGACCATGTCAGCTTGTGTTTTGGATGTATTGCTAGACAGCAACCATCAGATTGATTGACAACATCAAATTGAGGTTGCCATATGGTTATACATATTGTTACGTCTCAAGGAATGAATCTCTGTTAGTGAACAGAGAGTTTTACTCATACGATAATTGCGATATTCGTACGGTAATTTCAAAATGTAGATTATACACATGAACATTGCGCTTCTCTTGAAAACTGAATTTATGAGTACCATATGAATTGGAGTTTTTTGAAATCTAGTCATCACTCGTGACTCAAGAAATGAACCACTAGTGCATAAAATATTGTATGTATCACGTGCGTAATATGCGTTTATAGCCTTCAGCGTGTAATGGCCCTCGGCTAGCGCCATCGATACATTATTCATGCCACAGGCGATAAACGCCTACTTCACGCCCTTGATACATGAATAACTATTACTACCAAGGTGTTTATTGAATCTTTTTCACCACTAGCAATAAACTTCAATAATTATAGTTCTGCGAAACTGAAAAGTAGTCCTACGTCACTATGAAGGCACTTCGTTCCAATGCTAATTTAAATCTGGTCACCATGGAAGCATATGACCAGTTGTTATTGATATACCGGGTGACACAGGACACATGTAGCAGCTTGTAGTTTTTTATTCGAAGATAAAAAAAAATTGGAATTCACAGAATGTATATAATGAATAGTAGCGCACTTTACGAACTCAACGACAATTTTTTTCCAACCACCTGTTCGACCGGAAGTGACCCTGACTTTTTTTTCTTGAAAGTCACCCTGTACATTTCTTCAGTCTATCTTTCTCTCCTTGAAATTCTCTATCCAACCATGTATCACAAAGTGGCATTCATTTCTTAATTTGCTGTTGAATTGCTTTTAATTCAAAAAGAATAAGTTGGCTGTGACATCGATGATATATCGACACTTGGTAGGCTTTGAAATTCGAATATCATTAGTGAACCGATATTATTCAAAATGTTTTGATATTCTTATCAATGTCTGCAGGTTGACATTAGCTTATTTGAGTCAAGATGAAAACCTTCGAAAATAAATCATGATATCGAGGAATCTGAGATAGGAACATATTTTTTCGAATTCACCTACTCGTACAGAAACTATCTGTCTTTTATTTTCGCCATGTACCTATCACATTATCTTCCCATTTGGAATGATAAAACTAAGATTGTTCCTCTTATACGATGATCCACATGGCTTTCAGTCTATTTTTTCATAATTATTCCACTTAGTAGGCGGTGTATCTAGACAAAATGTTTCATGTGTTTGACAGTTAATCGATTGCATCAATAATTTCTCTTCTTCATTTGTGTGTTGATTAAAATTGCATATTAACAACATATAGACTTTTTCGTTTCTTGAATACATTTTCCGTCTCTATTGATAATATGCAATTTCATCAAAACACAAATGAAGAAGAAAAATTATTGATGCAATCGATTAACTGTCAAACAGATAAAACATTTTGTGTAGGTACACCACCTACTAAGTGAAATAATTATGAAAAAATAGACTGATAGCCCTGTGGGTCATCGTATAAGTGGAACAATTTTAGTTTTATCATTCCAAATGGGAAGATCATGTGATAGGTACATGGCGAAAATAAAAGACAGATAGTTTCTGTACGAGTAGCTGAATTCGAAAATGTATGTTCCTATCTTAGATTCCCCAATATCATGAGTTATTTTCGAAGGTTTTCATCTCAATTCAAACAAGCTATTGAATAATATCGGTTCACTAATGATCTTTAAATTTCAAAGCCTACCAAGTGTCGATATATCATCGAAATCATGTCACAGTCAACTTATTCTTTTTGAATAAAAAGTAATTCAAGAGCGAATTGAGAAATAAATGCCACTTTGTGATACATGGTCAGATAGAGAATTTCAAGGCGAAAAAAATAGACTGAAGAAATGTACAGGGTGACATTTGGAAAAAGAAGTTGGGGTCACTTTCGGTCGAACAGGTGGTTGAAAAAAATTGTCGTTAAGTTCGTAAAGTGCTCTACCATTTATTATATACATCACTGCAGGCTGCTACATGTCTCCTGTGTCACCCGGTATATACCTACTATAGATTCGAGTGCCATTCCTGTGCATATTGCATGAATTCGGGTTAACTATAACAGAGGTTGCTTTATTGTCTAGTGGTTCATAAAATTACAAAAACTACCTAGGTAGTAAAAACATACTTTTTCTGCAACCGACACAAAAGTCGTCCATTTTGATACCGAAATTAGCTCTTAAATTGACGTTTCTATTACTGACACAAAAATAGGTATGTTGCTAGGCAACATGTTTAGTTCCTAGGAATAAATAATCACTATTATCATTGTTAACTCAGATTGTTAATATGCTCACTAACCTAACACCTAACATTTTCCATGTCTTGTTCCTATAGCTGGCACTGGCGCGGTATTTGCCATTAGAGCACCTGGTCCACACACAGATATGTCACTCTGTGGTTGTATTTATATTGAAACTACAATTCGAACATCCTAGAAAACCTAACCTGCTGTTAATGCAGGTAGAATATTCTCAACACATGGATTATTTGTCAATATTTGTTGCATTGCATACATATGGCACGGCATTGGTGGTTACTTCACATGTTTATTTGAGTTGATTGTTTCGGTTGCAGAAAAAATAGCATGTTTCATTCGGATCAAAAGTGACATTGTTCGACTCGCAAATTTTGCTTTCGCTCGGCTTCGCTAAACGCTCCGCCTCGCAAATGCAAAATTCGCTTGTCAAACAAAGTGTCACTTTTGATCCTAATAAAACAATCTACTATTACGCCTTCAAAAGGAGTAAATAATGGTAGGTTCTATAGCTAGTGGTGGAACGAAGGGTTTTATCGGCTCATCGAGTACCTCTTTTCAAAATTATCCAGCAATGTCAGCTTCCAGTGAAACCGAAAGTGATATTGAATTATTTCCTCATGGAAATATAGGTTTCAAGGTTCCTTATTTCAGGTATAGATATGAAAAGTTCAACTTAAGAGACAACTGAATGACGCCCTGTTCAATGATTCCGTTATCATCCCAGTATAGCTCATCAATCAAATGAAGAGTTCATTCTGATATGGAAACACAATTTCCAGAAACTGATTATCTCAGTTTCACTTCAATCAGATCATCGATAAAATAATTCATTCGATTTTTATATAATGTTTCTATTTTAATCAACCACTTCAGAGACAATATGTTACCTAGGTACTTATAGATATTCATTGTGTAAAGATTCATTATTGGGTATAATTCGAACCTATACATAGTGAGAACGTAAGAAAGTGAATCCAAAATGAAGACTTTTGTTTTATGTATCGTGTTAGTTCCTTTCTTCATAGATGGAGGTGAGAATTTTGGTTGTTTTTCGTTTTGTATTTTTCACTCTGGTAGGTATACAGTGTGTGCGATTTCAACCAGCAACATCTTCCCTATTTGCAACCCGTCAACCGATTTTCAGAATCAAAAATTTTATTACACAGTACTTTACGAGCTCTATCCGAAACTATAGACGAATCTGATATATTCAGATTCTCAAGGTATACTTTGGATTGTTGAATGCGTCAAAATTATAGAAACGACTTTTTGGAATTTTGTTGTCGAAACATAACCTAGGCTTAAACATCTCCATACGAAATTTGAACCCACAAAATCTCATATAAGGTGTTGAAAAGGAATATTCTCAGATAAATTATGAACATACAAAAATGGATATATATTTATATGAAGCAATACATTAAGAATTTGCATTCTCTATGTGATGAGAATATCAACTCTTTTTCAGTTTATTCAACAGAAAACAACTACTTTCCTGGTTATATGCAACGACGAACATTGAATTATATCTATTGAACACACGATAAAAGTTTGGAAATAAAATATAAAATCTTCTGAAATTGAGAATTTGCATTCTCCTTCAGACAAGATTTTATATTTTATTTTCAAACTCTTTTCGTGTGTGTTCAATAGATATGATTCGATGTTCATCGTGGCTCGTGGCATATAGCCAGGAAAGTAGTTGTTTTCTATTGAATAAACTGAAATAGGGTTGATATTCTCATCACATAGGGATTGCGATTTCTCAATGTACTGCTTTATATAAATATAGGTATAACCATTTTTGTATGTTCATAATTCATCTGAGAATATTCCTTTTCAACACTTCCATACCCAATCAGGGGGTTCAAACTTGAACGATGGAAACTTGTGATTTTTATAGACCTCTAATCGCAGATTCGTGATAGAGTCTCAATTCAGAATTTTTTTCCACGCCCTGTATGATGAATGTCAATTCATCATACATCCAGGAGCTCATATAGGGTGTTAGTTATTCAATGGTAAATTTTGATATTTTCGATTCTTTCATTCACCCTGTATCAAAATTTAAGGTATTGATATAACTGGTGAACTAGTCGTTCGATGGAAAATACATCGAATTTTGGATACGAAGTTTCATTATTGTATCTTCTACAGGAAAATCTCTCTAGGTCAACCAAAAATCAATAAAATTGAAGTTGCGGTTCATCATTTTGAAAACTCAAGTGAACCGTTTTTCATACACTTCGCCACACAGTAACTTCAAGAATCGTCTCGATTGATAAATAACTGTCGAATATAACACAAATAGAATGACAGACAAACACTCCTCAGAAACTGGAATTAGATTTACTGATACTTAATCCCTAATAGCACACAACGTCCTAGGAACGTCCCTATTTGGTACAATTCAAGTCTGAATGTCCCCACGTGGTACATTTTGTAGAATGTCCATGCAAGGACGACCTTGGCATGTGATATGATTTCAAACGTTCCTTTAAGGACATCCATCGGATGTCCCGAGTAGTACATATTCTGACATGACTTCAGATCTTATATAATGTCCCTTCTAGACAACCATGGAATGTTCCTACTAGTACATTCCTCCGAATATCTCTGCACAGACGCCCGTAATATTTCCATGAGCATATAAAAATCGAAATGTCCCTAAGGGACAGCATTCGAATGTCCCTTAGGGATATCTGTCGGATGTCCCAATTGGTACTTGAACTGTACATATCCAATGTCTTAGAAATAATATCCTACGGACGTCCCAGTTGGTACTTCCGATATGTTTTTCCTGCGAGGACGTTACCTTACACCTTGCCGACGAATGATTGCTCGCAGGTTATAAATACTCCTTCCCGTCAATGTCCTTCACGTGAGTCCATTGGACATCCTTGGGAAACTTTTCCAGGATCTATTGGGGATCTTTATATACCTACCGAATTTGAATGCATTATATTCAATTTTTCTTGAGATATTACGAAAAAATTATTTTGATGTCTTAACTTCAACGCCCTGTGTGTCAAGAACTGAATACTTGAAGAACGTATGTCCCTATCTCAGTGATTATACAATCACGAGGGCTATAACCTGTCAAGCGTTGTCGGTCGAATTTCGCAACAGCCTGTATATTCCAAAGGCATGTAAAAGCATTGTGTTTCAACAAATGGCACCTGAGCCAATCACTATTATGAGCAAAATGATTCAAAAATGGAATTTTCCTGTGCATAAATTTGCACTCCATTTCGCGATTTGATAACAACCCAGGCAACCAGATGACGAATGATCACGTCACCGTGAAGTCCCTAATTGGTGATTTTAGGCCAGAGAAGTCACACACCAATTCATGACGTCACTATGACGTACTTTCTATGAAGTGATAATCACGTCATCGTTTCGACGTCGAGTGAACGTCACTTAGATGGGTAAAAGAAGACGTCAGTTTCATGACGTGGCAGGTACGTCCTGTTGACGTCCATTTTTCCCAGACCTTCTCTAAACAATGGGTACTTATTGTAGCAGGATACTCAGTTGTTGTTCAAATGTTTCCAAGAGACATGTTATTTATTATTTAATCGTTCATTTATCGAGTTGAGACCAATTTCCAATTCGATAGCCTTTCTGGGATGGTATCAAGAAATATCATTATATTGATAATATAACTGATAGCCCTGGTATCAGGTAAGTTATTCTGAGATCATATGAGTGATCAAGAGATTGTAACGAATTTATAATCTCCTTTCATCTTAATATGTCATAGAAATGTTGAAGCTATATGATGTCATCATATTTCAGATTGGGAACTGATTAGCATTTATGAACAAATCACGAATTGAAAGAGGGTTTTCCATTGCAAACCATTACATTATACAGGGTGTTTCTTGAGTACGTGTAGAAAATACAGGAGCATGTTGCTGACGACAAAATAAGAAGAAAAGTTTGTATAAAATAAATATATGTCCGAAAGTTATTCGTTTCTGAGATACAGAGTGTCAAAGTTTAATTCTTATTCTTGTTTTTTATTGATAAATTCCAAAATAATTGTGATATCGGAATAAGGTTCGAAATCGAAGGGTATTTTTCAATGACACTATAAAATTTTATGTTAGTTTGTCTCTTTCGTGGGGTTGGCGCCAACTACATGTCTTTTGAGTCTTTTGAAAAGTTATAACTTTTTTTTGCGTACCTGTATAACGTTTCATTGTTAAAAAATAGATTTCTAGAACACTTTTGTATGATGTTTGCATCTAGCAACTAGATGCGCCACTGCTCAGTGGAATGTGCTCAGATCAGAGCCTTTGACAGACGTGTGTGAAGACTGGTTCATACAGTATTCGGCTGATGGCAGCGGAGCTGTGAGCAAGTGTAGCCCATGTCATTTGTGCTCGTGTTTATTATATTATGACCATAATATAACATATGAAAAATATATTCTTGGTAGAGGTAGCTGCGAGCACCTGTTTTCGAGTTATTGGGATTCGAAATAATCGATGCATTCGAATTATCTCCATGTCGCTCGTAAGTCGCTTCTAGTGAACATCAGAAAAGATAGGCCACTGCATTTCTCTTCTTTCAGTCTATATTCTTCTTCATTCAACATTGGAATGTAGGCAAAATATCATTCTTACTTATTTGTACCTGCTTTTTTGAACTCCTCCAATAAGAATTCAACTTTGACATTCTGTATCTCAGAAACGGATAACTTTCGGACATATGTTTATACGAACTTTTCTTCCTATTTAGACGTAAGCAACATGCTTCCGAATTTTCTACACGTACCTACTCGAGGAACACCCTGTGCAAATCAACATGAACGTTTCTTTGAAATTATTAATATACCCAAGAAGTGGGACAAAACTTTTTTCTAAAAACGTTGACACACTGTATATCTCGGTGACCAAAAAAATATGAATATGTATACAAATGATTGTTTAGGTATACCTATATTGAAACCGTGACTCCTCTGACGTTGCATTGACGTATCTATGACGTCTAAAAATCACGTCGGTGTGCCGCACTAATTCGGTGAGCTTTTTCTTTCAGAAAATGTTTCAATTATTCGCTATTTAGATTTTTGTTGGGTGACAAAGATTGCATGAATATACATTATTCAACAAAGTGAAGCCAAATTCACTAACATTCTTTCCATTGCTATCAAACTATTCTTGGTTTGCTCACATTTCGCCAACACAAACTACATAATTCTTGATACAAATACGACTAACTGATTGCATTCTGATGGGGATGCGTACTAAAGGATAGCGCATGACATAGGAGGGATCCACCAAGCAGACTCAACAATGCATAATCAATATTATATATCATGTCATCAGATGCCAGTGGTGTTCATCACACCATGTTAAAGGAATCTTTTCAACGTATCATCACCAAATTTGAACGTCATTTTGACGTCATTATGACGTCAGTCGGACGTCACAGTTTAATGAGTGAATGACGTCAATACGACGTGAGTAATATGACGTCATTGGGTTGTGACTTATTCACGTCATTTATCACGTCATGCGACGTCAACTACTGACGTCACCTCGGTCATTCAACTGACGTACAAAAGAATTCACTTAGAAGTCATCTCGTTGCCTGGGAAGATGAGAATCATGTCATTCAATAACAATTGAATAGTAGATCTCTAAAACCTACCTGTACTACCCCTTGATCTGAGCCAAATTCAAGGTACCGTAAAACGGGGTTACTTTGCATCTCCAGGTAACTTGGCCATGAGTTCATGAAATCTGAAGAACACTTTTGTTTCTCAACTGTTAATACTAAATTGGTGTTATACTACGCCTAACGGATCTCCAGGATCCTCTGTTAGTCTGGTATCAGGTCTGGTCTGGTCAGATTTCAGATAGCACAAGAGGCTATAGAGCCCTAGGTGCCAAAAACCACCTGCCTATTTGGCGGGAGTTTTTGTGTACGTGCGACAGTTGGTTTCGTGAGTATCTTCTGAAATGATTCATTTCAATATCTTCATAGTAGTGACCTCAATTTTTTTATCGCTTGGAGC